GGAGAGAGGAAAAAACGGCTTCTTCGGCCTCGCGCGGACTACGTTCCCCGTCACCCCTCGCGCGCGCGGTGGGGCACGCCCCCCTCCCCTCGCGACGTCACGCGCGGCCGCCGCCGCCGCCCCTCCGCCGGTCACGCGCATGGGAATCCCCACCCAGCTCGCGGGGGTGACGCAGCCAGGCTCGGCCGGCCAATCGGCGCGGAGCGTCTCCTGTGCGGGCAGCGGAAGGAAGGGCCGTCGCGGAGGGAGGGGAGGCAGCGAGGGAGAAGAGCGGGCATGAGCCAGAACGGAGGGGGGAACCCTTTCGAGGGAGACGCGGGGAATCCCTTCCAGGTGCGTAGTAGCCGTGGGAAAACTTGGGGGGTGGGGGTGGGAATCCCCTGGGGTGGCTCTCCAACCCGGGGTCCCCCCCCTCCCTCGCTTGCTCATCCCCAGCCTGGCTTCTTCCCCCCCCTCCCTCCTTCTTGTCTCCCCCCCCCCTTGCTCACAACAACACCAACAACAACCCTGCCAGGTAGGCTGGCTGCAGGGAAGGCGAGGGGATGGGTGGTAGGGGCTGCCCAGCCCCAGGGATTTCTTTTGGCTTCAGAGTGAAGGGTGGACTGGAGATGATGGGAGGCCAGGCCGAGCCTTGGCTGGCCTTGGATCAGAAGAGCTCCGCGCTGTGAGAATGGGAAGCCCAAGGTTCTAGTCCTCAGGGAAGGGAGGGCGCAGCATGAAAAGAGGATTGGCCCCTTTGAAGTGTGTCCTGAGGGATGTTAGAGAGCCCAAATGAATGGGGGGAAACCCTTCCTTCCTTTTCTTCTTCCTTCCTTCCTTTTCTTCTTCCTTCCTTCCTTTTCTCTCCTTTCTCTTCTTTCTCTGTTTTTCTCTCATTTCCTCCCTCGCTCGCTCCTTCCTTCCTTCCTTCCTCTTCTTCTTCCTTCCATCCTTCCTTCTCTCTCCTTTCTCTTTTCTCTTCTTTCTCTGTTTTTCTGTTTTTCTCTCTCGTTTCCTCCCTCGCTCCCTCTTTCCTTCCATCTTTCATTTTCTTCCTTCCATCCTTTCCTTCCTTTTCTTCCTCCTTCCATCCTTCCTTCCCTTCTTGAGCAGAGGGTTGGACGAGAAGAACCCCAAGGTTCCTTCCTTCCTTCTTTCCTTCCCTTCTTCCATCCTTCCTTTTCTCTCCTTTCTCCCTGTTCTCTTTCTCTGTTTTTCTCTCTCATTTCCTCCCTCGCTCGCTCCTTCCTTCCTTCTTTCCTTCCTTCCTTCTTTTCTTCTTCCTTCCATCCTTCCTTTTCTCTCCTTTCTGTTCTCTCCTTTCTCTCTCTCTTTCTCTCATTTCCTCCCTCTCGCCTCCCTTCCTTCTTCCCTCCCTCCCTCCCTTCTTTTATTCCCACCAATCTTTAGCTCAATCATAGTTTGGCAAGTAAGCCACCATGGAGCCCAACCCACACAAACCACCTTTAAAGAAAATGAGCCAAGCTGGTCAAAATATTTATATTTATCGGGAATCTAATTCTGTTTCTGCTTTGCTGGGTTTCATCTTAATTTGCCTTGGAATAACAAACCGGGCCATCCGCTGTTTTATTGGTTCTACTCCTTACGAAGCAAAAAGAGAAGGAGAATTAGCAAAATTTTGCCTTTTGCTGAGAAGATAAAAGGGTGTTTATATTTATCGCGCAATCCCCCCCCTTTAACTGCACAGGACAAAACTCTTATTTGGCCAAAGTCATTTGGGATTTTTGTCCCGTTGTGGGTAATAAGAAATTTATTTTTAAAACTCTGGGAGGGCATTGAAATCCCATTTGTGTCTTTGTTAAAAATTGAGACTCTTCACATAATGTTGCTTTTTTGCATCTCTCTTTGCTTTCGTTTTGGCCTCTTTTGAAATACTCTGGTTTCTGAAAATAATCACAGATCTTGCTTCCTGATTTGAAAGCCAACAGAGATTTGAGCCCCCTATTTTGGGAAGAGGGGAAGGGAGAAAGAGAGTGTCGAAATAATCTTTCCCCAGCTTATTTCACAATAAATAGACAATGAATAATGTAGCTGACCTTGTTAGCAAGTTAGGTCTATTTAATGGGGTTTTGTTTTGTTTTCTTTTGAGTAACATGCAAATAAAATATCTTAACTTGTTTTTAGAGGCTTTGGTTTGGAGGAAAAACAAACTTTTAAAAAAGATTTATCCAAAAAAGTCCTATGAGCTGGACACAGCCTGGATGCGGCCTCCCTTTTCAGGAGCAGGCTATCTTATTGGCAGCTTAGAGCAGGAGTCACCAATCTTTCGGATCTCGGACCACTACATTCACAATTTTAAATCCCACGGACCGCTAATATGATCTGCCCAAGGACCGGCTGGGTGGGCATAGCAAGGTCATGTGACTGGGAGGGAAGGCGGGCCCTCAACTTGAGTGAAAGAGAGAGAGAAAGAAAGGGAGGGAGAGAGAAAGAAAAACAGAGAGAGACAAAGAGAGAAAAACAGAGAGAGAGAAACAGACAGAGAGAGAGAGAAAGAAAGAAAGGGAGAGAGAAAAAACAGACGAAAGAAAAACAGAGAGAGAGAGAGAAAGAAAAGAGAGAGAGAGACAGAGAAAAAGAAAGAAAGGGAGAGAGAGGGAAAAACAGATGAAAGAAAAACAGAGAGAGAGAGAAAGAAACAGAGAGAGAGAAAGAAAGAGAGAGAAAGAAAAACAGAGAGAGACAAAGAGAGAAAAACAGAGAGAGAAACAGACAGAGAGAGAGAGAAAGAAAGAAAGGGAGAGAGAAAAAACAGACAAAAGAAAAACAGAGAGAGAGAGAGAAAGAAAAGAGATAGGGAGAGAGAGAGAAAAACAGAGAGAGGGAGAAAGAAACAGACAGAGAGAGAGAGAAAGAAAGGAGAGAGAGAAAGAAAAACAGAGAAAAACAGAGAGAAAGAGAAACAGAGAGAGAGAGAAAGTAAGAGAGAAACAGGGAGAGAAACAGAGAGAAGAAACAGGAAACGATATACATCAAGGAAGGAGAAAGGAAAAAAAATGAAATATTTAAAGAAGCAATTTTTGGTTTCCTTTGCAGCTGTTAGAAACCTAGTTAATATTCAGTTTTCCAAAATGACAGAACCTAATTCGCCTTTTTGCAGCACTTTTTAAGCAGTAAATCTCAAAAATTATCTGTTCATTTTTCTCCTGGTTTTGGCAAAAAGTCCCTCAAGGGTTTCCAAACTTTTATGAAAGTGATTATTTTTTGCTCTTTTGCTAATCAGGCCAGTCCATTGAGCGAGCCTCATATTTACAATTTCCACCTTACCTTCTTCACAATCCATGGTGTGTATTTCTGCATTCCCCCCCCCCCGACTTTTTGCGTTATAATGCAAAAGAGACAAGGGTTTAAAATGGTGTTTAATAAATAAAATAATAGACTCGCAGCAATTCCCACGTAGAAAACTCTCTACGAATGAAATCTGAATGCCTTTGGATCAAATCTGAAAAGAGGCAGTCCAATTCCTCCTAATTTGCGGGAGAAAATTTTTTTGGGGGGAGCAAAGAAGGGAAGGTTGAAAAATAGGGATTTTGCAATTCGGCTTCAACATGGAAAGAGAAGAGAAACTTGGCTTGGTTTCTAGGTAGGAGTGGTACAAATATAAATAAATTTTCTTTTTTTTTTTAATTTAATCACGTCACTTTCTTTTTTTTTCCTTCTAAGGATCCGGGCATAATCCAGCACAGGCCAAATACGGACTACGCTACCCTGGATGTATATAATCCTTTTGATAGTTCGGGGGTGAGTCAATTGCTCGATCTTTTGGGGGAATTGAGGAGGGGGGTTGCTGTGTTTCCATTTTGCGGGCGTTTTGGCTTTCAGTGGAGATAGCTTGTTGCAGCTCCCTCTCCAGACTTTCAGAATCTGCATTCATGAATAAGATAGATAATAAATAAAAGAGAGAGAGAGAGAGATGATAGGTAGGTAGGTAGGTAGGTAGGTAGGTAGATAAAGACAGAGAGACATAGGGATGGGTGGATAGTGAATAGATGGGTGGGAGAAAGAGAGAGAAGGGGATGGATGGATGGACGGACGGACGGATGGACGGACAGACACATAAATGATATAGGTAGACAGATGAACGGACAGATAGATGATAGCAAGCTAAAAGAGAGAGACGGGTGGATAGAGAGAAAAGATGGATGGATGGATAGAGATAGATAGATAGATGATAGAGATGATAGAGCGATTAGATAGAAGAGACAGAGAGATAGAAAATAGATATAGATAGAAAGATAAGATAGATAATAAATAAAAGAGAGAAAATAGATATAGATAGAAAGATAAGATAATAAATAGAAGAGGGAGAGAGAAAATAGATACAGATAGAAAGATAAGATAGATAATAAATAGAAAGAGATAGAAAATAGATATAGAAAGATAAGATAATAAATAGAAGGGAGAGAGAAAATAGATATAGATAGAAAGATAAGATAGATAATAAATAAAAGAGAGGAAATAGATATAGATAGAAAGATTGATAATAAATAGAAGAGAGAGATAAAAAATAGATATAGAAAGATAAGAATAAATAGAAGAGGGAGAGAGAAAATAGATATAGATAGAAAGATGATAGAATAAATAAAAGAGAGAGAGAAAATAGGTATATATAGAAAGATAACATAGATAATAAATAGAAAGAAAATATAGATAGAAAGATAAGATAATAAATAAAAGAGAGAGAGAGAAAATAGGTATAGATAGAAAGATAAATAATAAAAGAGAGAAAATAGATATAGAAAGATAAGATAGATAATAAATAGAAGAGAGAAAATAGAAAGATAAGATAATAAATCGAAAAGAGAGAGAGAGAAAATAGATATAGATAGATAAGATAGATAATAAATAGAGAGAGAGAAAAAAATAGATATAGATAGATAAGATAGATAATAAATAGAGAGAGAGAAAATAGATATAGATAGAAAGATAGATAATAGAGAGAGAGAAAATAGATATAGATAGATAAGATAGATAATAAATAGAGAGAGAGAAAATAGATATAGATAGAAAGATAGATAATAGAGAGAGAGAAAATAGATATAGGTAGGTAGGTCGATAGA